TCAGACTCGGCGAGTTGCTTGAAGACTTACTGGGACTCGTCGAGTCGTTCTTTAGACTCGGCGAGTGGAGTCGGGGTGTCTAGACTCGCCGAGTCGCCTTTGCACTCGACGAGTCCGGTCAAGTTGACCGTTGACCTGTATGTAATTAGTAGGGTCAGTTGTCTTGTTTGATAAGATCATTAATAAAGGTATGTGGTATTATAGGGAGTCTGCAGATTAGCGGATCGAGTGCGAGTAGCTCCAAGGGTTTATAGCTTGCATACTACGAGGTGAGTCTTCTCACTATACTTCACCCGGAAGGGTTTGACTGTGTGACCGGAAGGTCGTATGTGATATATGTGATTTATGCTATAACTGGAAAGGTAGATGCTATACATGTTATGTATGTTTATCCGGGCCGGAAGGCATTATGTTATGTGATAGCAGGAACAGGTATGATGTATGATATATGTGCTATGTGTGTTATGTTATATGTGTTATGCTTTGTAAATGTTATGGGCCGGAAGGCAATATACTATGGGCCGGAAGGCAATATAATACGGGCCGGAAGGCGATATGTTATGGGCCGGAAGGCAATTACTTTACGGGCCGGAAGGCAATGTTATGTGGACCGGAAGGTCAGGGCCTGGAAAGGCGTATGTGTGTAAGTTGTATATTGGGGAACTCACTAAGCATTTATGCTTACCAGTTGTGTTTATGTTTTCAGGTACTAGTGATGACCGTGGGAAGGCGCCGGCGTGACACGTACACACTGCCATTGTTGAAGATCTTGGGGATTCGTTATTTGTATTTTTGCAATAAACTTGGAATAAATTCTTTTGTGAATAATGATGTTTTATTTTAAATGAAAAATTTATTTGAAAAACTTGAGCTGTTACAATTTCGATCTTAATGGAGCACTTGAGATTCATGGAGAAAGTAACAAAGGAACGGATTATATGAGATGGTTTTAGATCATCTGAAAAAGGAATGAATCAAGTGTAAAGGAACCGATCTTCAAAAAGGTAGTTTAGAGCAAATTGGAGTGGCTGGGAGCAACATGGAGCACTTGGAGCACTTGGATCAATATGGAGATCTTGGAGCACCATGGAACACTTGGAGCAACATGGAGCATCATGTTACACCATGTAGAAGGAAGTTACACCATCCTTGGGGATGTTGCGCCAAATGATAGCATGATATGCCATCATGTCTAAAGGTGCACCAAGGTAATGTTGAGCCATGAATAAGATCTCGCTCCATCAAGAAGGTAAGTTACACCATAGAGGAGATATTGTGCCATCATTTACCATATTAGTACATGATGCTCCATCTTCATTCCCTTGTTGTGCCATGGTGATCCATGTATGCTTAGAAGATGATGATGCTCAAGAAATATTGTACCGTCCTAAAATTTAAGACTAAAATTTTCGATATTTAAATTAATAAAATCGTTATCCAAGACAACATCATCAAAACC